AAATTTCCCTTTTTTGGTGGGCAACGTGGTGGATAGTTAAGAACGGATTACAGCATACCATTTTTATACTTTTCAAAGCGAAGCTACGAATTCGTAACTATGAAAATTTGGATTACAGCATAAGGGTTAGCGTGGGCCGAATATCCGTTTTTTAGAACTTTGTTTGGTAATAGCAAAAATATGGTTCATTATGCTCTAAAAACAATTTGTGTGAGAAAATTAAAATTAATAAATACAATAAGTAATAATTTGCTTTTACTAAAATTTTAACTATCTTTGAAGGTATTAGTCCAACATCATTTGGTATATGGATCTTTATTGTAGAGAATCGAAGTTAGCTAAGAAAAAAAATTGTTAGCACTTGACCTTTGAAGGACTTGGGTGAGCCTAAGATATTGACTAAAAATTGTCATCTTTCACACAGATTGTTTTTAGAGCATAATAAACCATAATTTTGCTATTATCAAAAAAAAATTCTAAAAAAGCGGATTTTCGGCCTACGCTAATAGGGGTGTACATTTTAGTCCTATTTATCGCAAAAATAGCTGTGTTTTCTTTGGCAGTGGTCGGGATACGGATAAAAAGTTTGCACGCAAATGCAACAACGATATGATCTTGACAGAGATCTGGTTCAATTTATGATCCACTCTGTTTGTTTTGTTTCACTGGTAACTTGCAGCACGGTTTGGTAGCACTGACAATTGAATGTATATACAAACAGATATTCTGCCATTTCATTCTCTCCAATTGATTCAAATCGCCTTTATGTTAAATATCTAGCGGACCCGCCGAACCTCGTCTCGCCCAAAATTAATTTTTTTGGGGAAATTTTGGTACAACACACCCACCAACTAATCACTTAACGACGTCCAGTGGCACATTTATCTGCATTTGATCCACATAAATCCAGTACATATAGACTTATTTGAGATGAAATCCTTTAGCTGTCTAATCATTGCATTTATGGACATTCATCAAGAACTGTACTTATTCTGGTAATTCGCCGTAAAACAATGAGCTCAGGGGTTCTGGTGGTTGATTTAGCGGTAGTAATTTGACTACAACCCCGGAATAACTCAATCCTGGCTTGCCCGAATGAAAGATTTACGCATTGGGTTTTGCATACAGATTAAAATTTTTAGATAGTTGGCAAATCTCTTTATAATTATTACTTTGTGTTTCATTCGCTGAATGATTTGCAATATTTTACATATTTAAGTAACTTAGACAGGAGTAACACTATTCAAAACTTTGTAATTTTTATCTAAACCGTTGATGTTTCAATCATTAAATTTTATGAAGTATTATGAAAGATGTGGTAATAGATTGACCGGATGCAGTGCTTTTAGCTTTTTAAACAACGTGGCTATCTTTCGCTCGTACGTGTGCTTCCCCTGTTGAATCAGAATTTGATAAAATATTAAGAGATATCACGTCGTAACACAAAAATATCTCTTACAATAATAATAATAATAATATTCCAACGGTTTTTACCCTCCATTCCCGCCCATCCGCACGAGGGGCGCAGTCCGCATGACGTACGGAACCAGTATTTTCAATTTTTGCGCCGAGTCACGATAGGCAGGAGTTTGTTAAGTGTCGAGATCTAAAACTGTTCAACTACAGAACTAAATTCATCAGCCGATTTTATGTCTTTATTTTAATGATTCATTTATTGAGAGAGGACAGTATCGATTTCTTAATGCTGAAAAGCGGATCTGATATATCAAACTTGCTGGAATGAGAGTTAAAATCCTGGCATAAGCAACGGAGTGGGTCGTGCAATTCAAAATTAGTTTTACAAGCTTTCAGAAATAGGTGGAAAAAGTGTATTGATACCCGGGAGGGAACATTAAGGCTAACTTCGCCAAAAAGAAATAAGTATGCATATAGATTGTTAAATAGTTGGCAACCCCCTTCAAAATTATTACTTCTGGTTAACATGTCTATTCTGCGCTGGTAATAACAAGTTTGTAACCGGTAAATAAAGTTCCTTTCAATTTTTAAATTCTTTTCGCATTCTGTGTACTCTTGAAACCGTTAAATTTTGTTACCATCTTCATAGCTGAATTGCTGAATATTTTAACTGCATTACCAACGTACCTAGAATCGCGGTGACAAGAACTTCGGCAACGTGCAGAATAGACCTCTAAGAGGGCATTTAAATGTGTTTCATTCGCTGAATGCTTTACAATATTTTACTCAAGATATATATATATATATTTAAGTCACTAAAATTTTAAGCAGGTGGCAATCCTAAAGCTTTTTATTTTTTACCTTAACCTATCCCTCAGAATGGTGTTTAGTTCAGTAAATTTGATGGAGTATTAAGAAAGATATGACGCATTATTGACCGGATACAGTGCTTTCAGCTCTTTAAAACCCCCTTTTTTAAATAAGTATCTAAATTGAAAAAAACGTGACTATTTTTCGCATGTGCATGAGCTTCTCCCCTTTAAAATAAGATATAATTTATTAAATTTGATAAAATATTAAAGGAGATATCGTTTGGTAACAGAAAAATACCTTTTAGAAATAAGTATGTATATTGATATGGCCTTATTCATAAAAAATAAAGTAGGTTTAAAGAGCTTTATAAATTGACGTTTTCATACATTTTTCAATTTATAAACCTTTTATAAATCTACTTAATTTTTTTATGAATAAGGCCAATAGATTATAACCAAAGAGGGAATATTATTTCGTTTAAATATACATTTTTCCATTTAATGAGTTAATTTTTATAATTTCATCTTTCTCGTGCTAGTGGTATAAAATTAGTGCTGCGAACCCTAATAAGAATGATCCAGATCGTTTCCGTGAAAAATGATCGTGATACTGAGCTGATAGCCCAAGGAAACACTACTATAAAGCTTAAGCAAAAGGCTAACGTATCCAATACGACATAGCTTACTTAATAGTAACACTGTAAAAATTCAAATAAATTGTATAGTTATGATTTCTGGCAAGTATTTCCAAATCTTTGTTTATATCCGCTTTGTTTCTTATGGGCTATTACCCCTATAAACAGCAAAAATCCTTACTAATATTATAAATCCGAAATAGAGCTTGTTTGATTGTTACGCTTTCACGCATTAACTACTCAACCGATCGTCTTGAAATTTAGTACACTGGTGTAATTTAGCCCAACTTAAAACAAAAGGCTGGTTTTCACTATGTAAGGTTCACACATTGTCAACTGGGATTAAAAAGCGGTTTATCGACTGATTTGAATCAGGGTAGGTCTTTATTCGTGTACATGCGCTGCTAAATCGGCTATCTGTCTGTTTTGGCCCATAATATCATCGGTAAAGGTATAGATAAAGGAGATAAGGTTGTGTCAAAATAAGTCGCCAAATTTTGGCGTAAAATATGACATAGTGAAAACCAGTCTATAGGATAGATTTAAACTCGATTAGACGATATTTGTGATAGAGTACTGGAACTATATAAAATCATTTCCATACTCATGAAAGAGATGACACCACCCTCAACTTAAATTAAGGGAATTATTTTTTGAAAAAGGTTGCCACCCGTTTGCAAAGTCAAATTTAAATTAATAGGGCTATTCGCGATCCGGTGCAAATGGCCTAGCGTCATTGCATTGCAAATTTGTATTGCAAATTATTTGCAATACACAAACAAAATACACGCATTTGCATTTGTCATGGCTTGGCAAATTTGCAATACCGAAAATCCATAGCATAAAAATGCTATGCATTGCATTCATAAACAAAACCAAAGCTGATGCACAAAAATTGTTTTGCAAAAGCTTTGCCATGACAGTTTAATAAAGGTCGCTCACAATCCATGGCATATTTCTGCAATTGCATAAATTTGTCAGTTCTTATGCACCGAATCGCGAATAGCCCTATTTATTCGCAAGCTATCTGAAAAATTAACATATGGGTGTCACACGAAAGATTGTTAAGAAACCCTCAGATTGAACATTCAGAATATTATTGACTTATTTTACAAGGGCTGCAACCCGTTTAAAAATTAAATACAATTAATTTAAACGAACTACCACAATATGGGCATCAAATGTTTTTAAAAAGAGCTTTAGTTCTAAGCTAAATGTTTGTTTAAAATTTGAAACCCCAAATTCTACTTGAATTAAGAGAATGAATTATAGATTGGCGCACATATGTTAGTGTTTGGCCGAACTTCCCCTGCGGTTTGTGGAGTGTGCCTTGATGGTGACCACAAAGGGGAATCGCCGACTACGAATGGCGATTGTATTTGTATGAGCTGTTTTTTCATGGCAGAAATACATTCGTAGGTTCGCCATTGCCTGCAGAGGGGCGGCAGCTATTAGAAAAACACTTTTAATGGAATTAGGTAATTGGAATATGTATCACAATATGGGTGCCTGACGAAAGGGGTTTCATAAGGTTTTAGTTGGAAAATCAATTCCATACTCATGAAGGAGTGCTGCCACCTTTTATTTATTTGAAAATTATATTAAAAAATGAATGTCAGGTGGCTGAATAAAGCTGTAGTTTGACAATATTTTCAATAGAGTTGGCAGTTGTCCTAAAAGTCAAATTTAAATTAATTTTACTCAAGTTTGACTGTCAAAAGTAAGAGTGTAAAGAAACGTTCAGCGTGAACATATAGAGTTGTCTGTAAATTCCAACTATTCAGTAATTTTAATGAATTATTACTATATGGGTATCAATCGAAACAGTTTAGTTTTAGCTTAAAAATATTTTGAAGATGGTAAAAACAATTTAAAATCACCCATTTTGGCATAGTTTAAGGATTTTGAGTTTTATAGAAATAAATTACACCTAATGTAGTACGCAGAAATTTCATACACTCAGCAAATCGGGAGAGGGCGATCTAGCAAACTATATTTCTTGCTTATAATAATAAATTTCATAAGTTTATTACAATTGTTTGCTATTTTTTTTTTATAAAATACTACATACGCGGAACGGTCTCCGGATTTCCACCTACCTCATTTTAATGAAAGGTGAAAGGATACAAAAACTTACTAGTTCAGTAAACTCGTTATATCCTATATCTAGCCGCAAAAGACTTGTTAGTCGAGCGATAGATTTTGGTAATGTTATTAAGTTATTTAAGCGCAGCTCCAGAACTTTCAAATGTATTAAACGACCAAAGTTTGCAGGCAAGAATTCCAGGTATGTCTCATTTAAAAATAATTCTTTGAGTGTAATAAGGCTCGTTAAGGCATCAGGTAGGCGGTTGAGGCTATTGCAGCTCAAGTCTAAATGGGTTAAATTTTTACACGCTTTCATACTTTCAGGAACATTTGAAATGACTGTAATGCGTACATTTTAAAAATGAGTTTTAATCGGTTCGGCCATACTTACAATTTCGACTTAAATTCAATGTTTGCAGCTGCCGTAAAGCAGCAACGGCATTCGGAACTGATTCTAAATTATTGTTGCTTACCACCAAAACACGTAAATTCTGACAGTAAAATAGCTCTGGCGGAAGACTTGTGATCTGTACGGAACGCGTTTTAAAACATTGTTATTAACAGTCTAGTTTAAATGCTACTTACGCGTGCCGAATTTAAATAGAGTTCTTCTAATGTACGCTCATGCTGCCATACATTTGGGAAAGCATCACTCAGTATATTATTGCTAAAATCTAGTTCTAAAATAATATCATCATTTTGATTCGCCAGGCAAGAAAAACAGCGGAGAAATGCCATTTTTTGCCTAATTTCCGAAAGTCGTTTGTTAAGTAGTAGGTGCAGATATGTTTACGATTTGGTTTTTTTTCGGTACTTAGGAAGGTGATGGTAATTCAGCAGTTTGCGGCAGGACTTCTTTGTTAAAAGCACACGCTGAAATTATAGGTACACAAAACAGTATATTTTAGTAAGTTTTTTGTATAAAAAAAGATAATGGCTGCGTTTGACAACAAATGGTTTTTACTGGTAAATACTCGCAATTTTTGATTGGTTTTGCGTTCAATAACCCACAAACTTGCAAATTAAAGCAACCACGAGAAAGTAACAACACGAGTGAGCAAATTATAACAAGTAAACATACTACTATCAGTTATATGCAGGTGTCGAAAAACCGCCATGTATCAAAATCAAAAGTAAACAAACGTTTAAGAAGCCTTGATGTGTACTTGCTCAAAATAAAGTTAGTGAAATGAAAATATAGATGAGTAACGTAGATTTTTTGCAAGAGCAAAAGGAAAATTGTGCACCACAACTTAAAACCTCAAAGTGTCAAAATGGCGTGAAATGCAAGATTGTATTGGTTTTACGTTCCATAACTTTATCTTATAATTTCTCTTCCACTCTGTTTTGTGTTTACGCTTTCGCTGGTATTACTTACTTAAAAAATTGTTATATCTTTTTTTTGACTGTCATGGGAAAAGAGAAATTTTCTTGATCAAGAAAATAATGAGAAATTTTGGACCATTATTTAGATTAGGGCCCAACTGCTAATGGCGTGGCAGGATGTAAAAGCATAGACAGACGGCAGCGTTGATCCAGATCAATTCGTTATTTCGGAATTGTCTCATTAAATGCAACTGATCCGGATTAAGTCCTAGGGCTAATTCTACAACTAAATGCGGATAAAAGGCATTTTCAATAACAACACTAACCAAAACACAGAGAACGTCATCGGCGATAGTACATTAATCATACTCATTTAGGATAGTCCTACTAAAAGTGAATAAGAACTTATTTGAATAAGTTCGGTGAATGCACTATCGCCGACGAGGTAGATGTCCAGCATTCCCACGATATCCGGTTCTGCACACCGAAATAACTCGGGTTTTGTTTCAGCGACCTAACCCGTTTGGATCGTCGAACCCCATCAATCGTTTTTATGCAGTAACACCTCGCAGCCGGGATGGTTCGCATCCTTCTTCTGAGGGAGGGCATTGACGATGACACACCAATTCCGGCGGTGAACAAACAAAAAATTCTAGAGGTTACCTTTGATAGCGAAATAATGTCGCCTGAACACCATCTGCATAACCGGGCCCTTAAGGGAGCACAACAAAGCGTTCAGCAAGCAGTTTCTGGTAGCGTGCTACCGACGCGAGCACTCGAGCATGACCTTGCTTGAGAAAGAGCTTCCACCCATGCACGTCACAAGGAATTTTGCGTGCATAAGAACACGATCCAGACTTATACAGAACCACTGGACCTGACGACCTACACACGAGCTATAAACGGCATTCATAGATAATCTTTCTCCACCTTCTGCGACTCTCGAACTGTAAATGCCGCGGGAGACCCGTTACTCGTACCGGTCTGGATGCTGTAGCCGTCTCAATAGTTATTTAACCAGACTCGTTCCCGATATACCCAATGAGTGTCCAGCATGAGGAAATACTCATAATAACACCAACCACCTCTTTACAAGCCTACTCAGCTAAAAACACTTTCCTATGGTCAAATCTCATCTAAATGACACGTTTCCTGGGCCTACCGTTAGTTGAGCTACAACAACATCAAAATTTCCAGGCTAGTTTTGCATGTTCTTTGCATTCTACGTTCTCTTGGAAAACAAGTAAGCAAGTAAAGCAAACGAGTTTGTCGTCCACGGTAGCCCAGTGGTCAAAATTGTGTACAACTGAGTAGGACCCAGGTTCGATCCGCACTCCGAGGAATTCTTACACATAATATTTATTTTTTAATTATATATTTAATTTTTTGGTTAATGTTATTTCACATAATTCAAATAAATTAAATTGTTTTATTTAAATTTTGTTAAAAAATGCCGCAACGCTGAGCTAACTCAAAATTCAGATCAGGAAATATAACTGCTAGTGGATCGTACAAATTCAGCGCAATTAATACAAAAACAGGTATAACAATAGTTTTTTAGTGTACATAACCATCAAGAAAAAAATATTTGCACTAATTGGAGGTAGATCCTAAGAATTTTTTTTGGTTAATCGGAATTTGGTGGTGTTAATAGGCAAGCTGATTTCTTGTTTTTTCATTCGCCTTTTGCTTTTACTGATTTAACAGCACACCGTAAAAGCCAACAACAAAAACATGTAAACATTGACGGCTTGACCCTAAAAACAGGAGCCAAATACAGGTACGTTCTTTTTGTAATGTTGCTATCACCAGGTATAAATTCGCCTTGTAGGTAGTCGTTATATACGTGTCGGAGACAAGGTCGGCAAGGGGAGGTTGTTAATGCTACAAAATGGAAGTTTCTAGACTTTTCAATTTCTGCAACTAGCCTGTGGACCTTTACCGCAGACTGGCATGTCTCAAATGAGATGCGAATATCGGACCATCGGCATATTAGATTCGATAAATAGTCCCAAGGGTAGCGAACCAGGTTAATAGAAACCCAGAAAAACAAAATGAAAACTTTTCCACCTCTGTATAAAGCGGGAAATGAATACTTTAACGGCGCCATATACATCCGTGTTTTTACTGGAAGACGATGCGAGAAAATACCAAGACGATCCAACACTAGCTGGCCACTGAGAAGAAATAAATCTCAAACGCACGTCCCTTGGTGCAACGATAATATCGGGAAGCTTAGGAAAAAAGCTAAAAAACTTGTCAATTGTAAAAGAAGAACAACGGATTGGGTCTAATTTTTACGACAGTAACCGAAATGACTCGGGTTTTACCAGATCAAGGGCAGTTGTTTCGACGACCTAGCCCCGTACAGATCAATAGTTTTTCGTCCGTAGAGCAATACCTTGCAGTTGGATTGCTAAGAATCCTTCTTCTCCGGGCGAACATTGAGTCTAGCCCCGAGCCAGAATCATATATCTGCTGCGTTTGCTAGAGACGACTCCATCGGAGCTCCACTCCGGTTAGGTCCAACTCTTGCAACGGATGGAGTCACCAACCTGCTGGGGCCATAGGACTCATAGGGAGTGGACCACAAGCTTTGTGGCTCCCTGTTGCTTAAGCCAAACGCGGAACGTGCAGGTGCGAATCAGCACCCAAAGAGCCTCCACGGCTCCACACAGCTCCCGTGAGCAAAAGAAAACCTCCCCACACCCTCACACCACTCTAACACCCGCTCCAACTCGCGTCTGCGAGCCAACCAGCACCTCTTGCTTGCTCACACGATCTGCTCCGTCTGTCAGAACAGAGTATATCGGAAAGTGGCATCAGTCAAATACAACTCTTTCCTTGGCTGGTGCCACTTCCGCCTATGCTCTGACCTGCGCATCACGCACGATTGGACAAGCTACCGCGCCACCTAGTTGCAGACCACCGCCGCCGCAGTCAACAACACAAACACTGCAGCCACCCACCACCAGGAAGCAAAAGCAACTGCGGCTGGCACGACAATCCCAAGGAAGACTGCACACTTCTCTTACCCTGGGTATCGCGACCAGCCTCCCAAGGCATACGAAACTTCTACAACTAAACTGTAACGGACTCCAGAGCAAGATTGGATAGATAGCAATCTTAATGGGTCGACACGGCATATTGATAGCTGCGAACCAAGAGACGAAGTTGCACGACAACTCGACATTATTGAGTTGTGCCGCCTACATGTGCTCCGTAAAGATTGTGTGCGCGAAAATGGTGGAGGGCTAGCGTTCATCCTACACTACACTGTACAGTATCGTCTAATCGAAGAAGACGTAGATCCGAGGGACACCACCCTAGAACGTCAGAACATAGCTGACCGGTCAGGCGATATCGAGCTCCAAATATTTAAAGTATATATATTAGTGTGATACAGAAAAAAATTTTTTTCTCGGAACCATGCTCAAAAGTTTAGTTAGACGCCAAAATAAGTCTCAGAAAATATGAGCTCTTAATATTAATATTACGAATGCCCGCATCGCAGTTTTCGATTTCATATAAGAACACAGGAAGTATTTTTTTTACTTCTGACTTTTATATTTAACGTACGATACGTTGTACTGTAAAGGTTTTCGAGTATTTTTGTAGAGAATACAATTAAGGTCTGAAGTCATTTTTAAATCAACTCGGCCAAAAGATATTCGGGGTGAAATTCGAAAGAATTGTAAAAAAAAAATTATTTTTCCTGTGTTATTCTTATTGAAGATCGAAGTGTTTTCTTTTACTTGTTTTTAACGAACGATACGTTGTACTGTAAAGAACTTGAAGTATTTTTGTAGAGAATTGAGCGCTCTACAAAAAAGAACTGAAGTTATTTTTCGATACGTCAACTCGGTCAAAAGTTATTCGCAGTCAAGATCTTTACAGAACGTATCGTTCGTTAAATATAAAAGTCAAAAGTAAAAAAAAAAAAATTTTCCAGTGGTATTCTTATGGGAAATCGAAAAGTGCGATGCGGACACTCTTAATATTGATATTAAGGGCTAATATTTTCTGAGGCTTATTTTGGTGTCTAAACGAAACTTTTGTGGATGGTTGCGAAGAAAACATTTTGTTTTTCTGAATCACCCCAATATATATTCCCGTCATCTGCTGCTCCGCAGGATATCATGCTGTCATAGGTTCGCTACTCAGAGGTGAAAACCGAATGGAAGTAGGTGACTTCAATGCGCACAATGCCCTTTGACACTCAGGCCTGGCATATGATCGTGGGGGAATCCTATTGGCTGAGCAGATAGACGATTCGACATTCTGCTTCATGAACGACGACGGCCTCAGCAAGGACTAGGAGATAAGCGTCTTCATGGGCCGGCATGGAATATTAATAAGCGACGAAGTTTGTCGCGTACTGACCGCAGCAAAGTTTTCTTTTGTGTATTCCTCCGTTTTACCCTTATTTCCTTTCACTCCAACCGATAGGAGCGAATTCTACCGGCAACTAGTTGTGTAACTTAAAGCTTAGGTTGAAGAGCAAAACAGCTGATCGTCGGTGGTGTGCTAACACATTGGGGAAATGTCTCCATTAGGGGTGTTCGCGCCAAAACG